GCGCGGCTGAGTCACGCTCTGGGGAAGCGCCTGTGAGCTGCGACTTGGAGCCCGGTCGATACATTGAACACTCCTGGAAACATTGTCCGAAGGTTTGTTAAACAGACAGGAACGTGTCAGGTACAGGCTGCAGCGGAAGAGTCATTAAGGATGAGTCACTGAGCAGCGACTTAGAAATGAAAATTGAAAAAACAATTTACAGTGGCCCTGAGAAACGTAAAATCCATGCTGTTACCCCAGCGAACAGTTCATTCCTTTTAATGACCAAGCAGCACGCTCTCTGTGACGATGTCCCCGTTGGCTGGGGGAGCCCAGGCCGCCCGGGGCCGTGGCTGTGTGGATGCAGTTTCTGTGATGCTCACGGAGCCTGTTCTTGCTGGCGTGTGATTCATTGTTCTTGGGTCAGTACCCGGAGTGGACTTGCGGGGTCATGCCGTGGGAGCCCATGCTGCTTTCATGACAAACAGCCAGACCTTCCCGCAGGTGGCTTGTGCTGTTTATTTTGCGCACCCGTCAACACTGCATCAGGTCTGGCATTTTTCTTTATGCTGGGCAGCAGTCCTTTGTTGAGATACATATTTTTTGAGAATATTTTCCCCAAGTTTGTGGCTTGTCAGTTCTTTTTTTTTTTAAACCAGTGTTTTCTGAAGAGCAGAACATTTTAATTTTGATGACATGTACCTTACCATTCTGTTTCCTCTGTGTCCCAACTAAAAACCCGTTGTTTTACTGCCAGGGTGCCAGGGTCTTCTCTTGTGTTTTCCTTCTAGGAACTTTGTAACTTTAGTTCTTACTTTGGGTCTGTAATTCAATTTGACTTGAATTTTTCCATACAGTATGAGGAAGGACCCCGGTTCATCTCTCAAAAGTAGATTTCCTAGGTTTACACAGCGCTGCGTGTTGGAAACAGCTCTGTTTCCAGATTAGATTGGTTTGGTACCGTTTCTGAAAATTAGTGCGATGCTCGCTGTTAGCTTTCTGCAGGTGCCCTTCCTCAGTGGTGGTTGACAGGCGTGCCACAGGCGGAGCCTGGGTTATCTGCCAGGCCCTCGCCCTGAGGTGTGCGGGCGCAGGGTGGGGTACGAGGCTGGGCTCCGAGGCTGTGGGGAGAAAGGCAGGAAGACGGTCGGCTGCGACCTGAACAGCTGAGTTAGTATGTTTGCCTCCTGTCGATACGCTCATTCTGCTCGTGGTGAAGGACGTTGATTCACTTGGATGGTTCGGGCCACCTGTATTCCTGAGCTGAGCCCACCTGGCCTGAAATCTTAGCCTTTCTACATAGCTCTAGATCCTCCCTGGTGGTAAGGTACCCAAGGATTTCCACATCCCTGTGAGGAACACCGGCTTCCAGCTTCCCTCCTTGTCTGCTTCTGTTTTGGATTTAGGAAGACGGTGGCCTCAGGAGGTGCTCCTGTAACTCCTGAAAGTGTTTGAAGATCGGTACTGTTTCTTCCGTAAACCTTTGATAGGATCCAACAGTGCAGCCATCCTGGCCCGGAACTTTCTCGGTGGAAACTTTAACTTTGGATTCAGTTTCTGCCCTGGGTGGGGCTCCAGAGTTTCTGTCTCTTCCCTTGTCAGTTTTCATACTGTGTGTCTTTTACAGAATTTTGCCGTTTTAAACAAGTTGTATAATTTATTGACATGTTGTGTAAAATGTTTCCTGATTCTCCTCGTGTCTGTGGGAACTGTACTGATGCCTCTGACCCTAATACTGGGAATTAGATTTGTTGATCCCTGGTCTGAAGGCTGCCATGAGACCCGTCGTGGGGACTGTTTCTGTGTCTGCTTTGCTGAGGCAGTTTCCCTGTGTCAGTCAGGTCCCCTCGGGCGAGAGGTCATCCTGTCCTCCCTGCCCTCGCTGATTGTCGGTCTGCTTTTCCCAGAGCTGCTGAGTGGGGCGTTTGAAATTCCACCTCTAATGGTTGACCTGTCTCTTAGTTTGTCAGGTTTGCTTCCCGTAATTTCACCCTCATTTATTAGGTACATGCACAGGTAGGATTATTACGTTTCCTCGATGAACTTCTGTGTCTGTTGGGGACCCATGAGTACCCCCAGGTCGGTGCCCCAGGACTCAGTGTTAGTTGTGCTCGTGGCCATGATTTCTTTCAGGGCAGGGTGCGCAGCAGAACCAGCTGAGGGAAAAGGCTCAGGGACAGGTGCAGGCATCCACCAGTCCTCTCCCGCGGGGGTCGCACCGGCCCCCGAGCCTTGCCGGGCAGGTGCCTCCTCAGAGAGGCTGTGCAGGGACTGCAGCTCCCCTCACCCCTTCTCACCCAGCCTCTGGCTGCAGTGCCCTTGGTGTACCCTTTATTGACTGTCCTGGTCCCTGACCAGGGCTGTCCATGGCCTGGTCTCACCTAGCTGACCTGGGTGCCCATCCCCCTGGGCAGTGCCCTGAACCCATCTAATCCCCTGGGTGGGAGCGGTCTGCAGGATGGTCCTCTTGGCACCCCCATGTGAGAACAGCAGGCCACAGGAGTCAGTCTTTGGGGTTCTTTCAAAACACGGATCCTTTATTTCTTTCATTTATTTTTCGGGCTCTCCGGTGTCATTCTTTTATTTTCTTATTGTTTGAATTTCCAAGAGAGCCCATCTTTTTTACCTGGGTTTTCAACAGATTGAGAAATAAGTAGTGGCAGATGGAGACCAAAGAATAGCTCTGATTTCTTCTTAAATGAGAAGCTTGGAATCCCATTTTAGTGTGAGAGCCAAACACTCTGGCCAGCAGTCCTGCGATGATGTGAGCTCATCCCCCCATCACAGCCAGCGCGGGCCAGGAGGCCGTCTCATGTGCAACAGAGCCTTCTGGGGGAGCAGCCTTAGGGGGTGCACAGCTTTCCGGGGGAGCTGCCAGTCAGAAGTGGGAGGAGGGCTGAATCTCCGAGGCTGTTTGTTCTCCCCGGTTCAGCAGTTCACGTGTCCTTTTGGGGTGAATATTCTGGGGCTAGAGAAAGTGCAGGAGTGGCACCAAGTCCCCCCCACTTGGAAGCAGACCCCAGGTTTGGGGGTGTTGCCTCCTCCCTCCTCCCACTGGTTGTGGTTCCTACTTGGTCCCTGGTCAGCAGGGCTGAACGTGGCCTTTCTCGGACAGGGTGGGGAGGGGGACCCAGAGTCCTAGGACAGGCCACCTCAGTGAGACCCCTGCTGCTTTGAGTGTCACCTGGGACCACTGGGGTGGGGGTTTCTCTGAAATTCGTCAGAACCGAGCATTAGACGCCTCCCAAGGCCTCCACCTGAGGCTGTGGGATCACTCCCTAGTTTACCCCTCCTTGTTATATCCGTGTCCAACCTGGCTCCTCGTAGGTCCCCACGAGGTCAAACGTGTTAAACTCCCAGCAACACAGAACACGTTTGAATATAAATCTCCTCTGCTACCTAATTTCCAGAGGGAAGTTAAGTCTTCAAGGCCAACTGTCAGTTCAAGTCCAAAACCAAACTTCCCTTCCGTTAAAGTTCAAATACATTAATGCTCACAGTGTGTCCTTAACTTGTGCAGAGCGGCAGGGAGAGCGAGTCCGTCTTCCCTCGCCCCACCCTGACACGGTTCCCCGTGGCCCCCTCTCCCGGGAGGCCCGGGTTACCCTGGGCGCTGGAGTGACCCAGGAGATGCCCCCTTTTGTCAGTTGGTCAGTAACCTTACTTCCTTTCCCAGGTCCTGGGGGTGGGCCGAGGATACTGGGGTTAGTATTCTGCCTCTGTAATTACCAGCGAGTGTGAGTCTATCCTGCGTGAGTCCAGCTGGAACCCTCGTTCTGAAAATGCCCCGAGCTCTGGCCGAGGCACCCGTGGGCCGTGGTGTTGGGAAGGCCGGGGCCGGACGAGGGGTCCCAGCTGTCCTCAGGCCGCGCTGGGCTCCCGGTGATGACAGTACTAGTCGTAGGGCCACTGTTCCTGAGTACCCACTGCACCTGGGACCTCCTTACACAGCCGCTGACCTGCTTCCAAGCCCAGAGTGGCCCTAGAGGGCAGCACTGTTGTTTGCACATACAGATGACGCAGTGGAAGCCGAGGTCACATGGCTCCCCAGTGACAGCCTGGCTCCACGCCAGGACGCCGGACCTAGGAGCCCCTCGCTGCCTGAACGGGTTTTCCTGCTTAGTCTGTGAACGTCTCCGCCTGAGCTCACTGGGAGTGGTCACGCGGCCACTCTCCCTGTGCAGTGACCATGTCGCTGGCCTCGGGTTGTGACATGGTCTGGCACTGCCGGCACCGGGCACGGTTGCCATTCCACATGGCCATGCTGAGTGCCGACTCCTTCTGAAGACACTCCCCCCAAGTGAGCGACACCTGCCAGTGCCTGTTGGTTTCTTGTCAGTGTAAATGTCTTATAGTCTACCTAGAAATGTTCGTTAAGTGTTCCTGAGATGGGCTTGCTGGCCTCTGACCTCAGGGAGGTTGCGTTTGCCCTTCTCGGAGTCAGGCTCGCCGGCACTGTGAGTCCGCGCACCTGCGTCCCCCTGCCTCTCCCTCTGGAACGTGGCTTCATCGCTGGGCGTGCACACTCACTGTTACTCTCTCGCAGGACAACTACACCTTTGCCCAGCCTGGGATCCAGATGAAAGTGAGAATGTTGGAAGAGCTCGTGAGCCGGATCGATGGTAAGCCAGCTCCTTGGGTGCCTCCTCTGTGGGTGTGTGAGCAAGCGGGCAGGTGGGAGACTGGGTGGGACCCGGCCGCCCTGCAGGGTGATGGGATACTCCTCCCCAGCCTGGCCCCTGGCTGGCTCAGGGCAGACTGCATCCCAGAGGCCACCTCCGGGACAGCAGTGCCCCAGTCCCTGTGAGGGCTGGAGTCCAGATGCAGTCCCTGTGCAGGAAGTCCTGGGTGGCGGTGTGCGTCTTCCCGGCTGTCCTTGGGCAAACTGCTCCCATCTGTGCCTCATCCTGCCGCCGGGATGCTGGTGTGATTTCTCTATGGAATCCAGTTAATTACAGGCCTGGAAATAACATCTCTCGCATTATGGAGAAACGGGAGCCTGTGCTCAACCGGTTTAGACTACGCTTCATGTTTAAGTGGGGCTTTGGAATGCTTTTACCTTCGTCCTCAAAATCACCCCTGCGATGTGCCGCTGTGATACTGCAGGGGCAGAGCTCAATTACGTGACAGTGCAGGGCGATGCTGGCCGTTCCAGTCACGTCCTCCTGGTGGTCTGTTAAATTAGCGAACAGCACTAACAACGTGATGCGAAGCGGGACCAGGCGTGGGCCTGTGACCTGACCGGCCAGTTACGAGGTCTGGCGGAGGGAAGTGGTTGCTCATGAAGAGCTTGCGCGAGCGTGGGGACGGTTTCACTGAACGTACAGAAACGGTGCTTTGCTAAAACGTGCCCGTGGGTCTGCCTCCCAGTACAGCCTCCGGGTGCTTATGCGCGGGTCCCCGACCTCTCCCATGCACCTTCCCCAGCAGGCAGCCCAGCAGGGGTGGTCCTCTCAGGGCAGGCTCTGGGTCTGGGGAACAGTGATGGACGTAACCAGATGGGCATACAAATCATAGCCTCCGCTCTGCTCGCTGGTGGAGTCTGGGTTCAGCTGTGCATCTGCTGGTTGCTGCGCAGTCTCCACCCTGGTTTCACACCGGTCCCTGGTAATGCTTTATTCCGCTCAGTGTGTTTGGTTGCTTTTCAGCTCTTCTATTCAGAACACTGTCCTTTGCTTACGTGACTGCATTTATGGACATTTAGTGTTCGTTTCACAGAGAGATCTTTCTTTGATCTGTTGGATTTTCCCTGACCAGCAGTTTTAAACTTTTCCCGTTTCATTTAGTTCTTTGAAATAGGATTTGCTGTGGATGTGAGTTGCAGGTCTTCAGTGGATCCTCCTTTCCTCTTGTCCCTGGAGGGCGAGTTTCATGTTTGCGTGGGGGGTAGGGAGCTGTGGTGGGTGCCGCGTGTCCCTGGGCTGCAGCTGGGGGTCCTTGAGCTGCTTCGCTCCGGTGTGATGGTTTACAGCGGAGCCCGCGCACCGGGAGCCTCAGGAAGGCCAGAGCCCATCACGAGGCCCCGCTCAGCCGTGTGGGCCTGGCTGGGGCTGCAGGGCCCTGGCTGGCACTGGCTCCTGGACAGGCTCCTCTCTCTGGCCCCGGGGATGCCTGTTAGCATAGATGGCACTGACCGAGCCCAGGAGGCCAGGGGTGGCGGTAGCTGAGATTCTACACTCCCCCCTTACGGGAAGTTTACGGGGAACAGCCCCTCTGTGAGCACGGTGGCTCTGCATCCCCTTGCCTGTGTTTTCAGATTCAGGTTCAGTTGATTTTAATGAAATCTCTGAACGCCGCCTTGACTGCATTGCAAGGTTACCATCGACTTACTCTCTCAAAATGGGATTCAGTTACAGCTGGTAGACTAGGCTCAGCTTTGTCATCACCGAGCGGAATGTGTTATCACTGCTGTGAGGTGAGCAGTGAGAGCGCAGAGTCCACGTGCGGCCGTGAGAAAAGCAAGCTCCCCCCGCCAAGTGTCCTCATCAGGCCCTGCCATGGCCGATGCCAGCATCAGCGTGAGAGCCGTATCTCCTGTGACACACATACCTGGTGGCTGGCAAAGCGCGCGGACGGCGTGGCGCCGGGCGTGCAGTGCGGCGAGGCCTCTGTGCTGCGGGGCTGCGGTTTTGTGCCGCCTCCCTCGTCTCAGGCCAGGCTGTGTCCCCAGGCCCTGCTGCTCGGGGCCTTCCCGGTCCGATCGTGGTTCGAGTCGCTGTGCCTCACAGAGCCTGACTGAGCCACTCGGACAGCTAACTCTCCTTGTATTTCACCCTTCGACCCAGTGGTCGCTCGAGAGGTGTTTTCTGAGCACCTGCGTTCCAAGGCTCCCGCAGTGGTGGTGGCTTTGAGTGGCTTCTGTGCATTTTGAAGGTAACTCTCCCCGTTCCCACAGCGGTGTTGGGATTTGGGCAGCTGTGTGTGCTGTTCTGGTGTCTAGCTGGTTACTGTCCCCATGGGTTCCTCCCTGGTTCCGTTTGCCTGAAACTCCCGTCGCCCCCCTGCTGCCCTGTGACCCCTAGAAGGGGTAGTCTGAGTGTGGGAAAGCTCGGTAATCCGGGCAGTGCACCCCGGCTGCTGCGTCACATGTAAAGGTGACGGAAATGCCGCCGCGTCAGCATGAAGGACAAGCTGGGGTGGGCTGGGTGAGGGCGATCCTGCAGGGACTCCTGGGAACTCTGAGAATGGTCTCCTGTGAACTCAGAGTGACCCCCCCCCCC